GGCCCCTTTCCAGCAATGGCGGCTCTGATCTGTGTTTCTGTGTTCCCATCTCCTTCTCCTTCTCTGACTCAGGCCCTCCTGTTTCCCTCATCTAAGGACTCTTGCGATTACATCGGATCCACCTGGATAATTCAGGATCATCTCCCTACCTCAAGACCTTTAGCTTAATCACATCTGCAAAGTCTCTTTTGCCATGTAAGGTAACATATTCATCCGTTCCAGGGAGTAGGATGTGGTTATGTTTTGCCGGAGGGGTGCAATATTCTGTCTACCACACAGGATTAAGGTAGGATTTTTTTTTTTTTTTTTTTTTTTTTTCAGACGGAGTTTCACTCATGTTACCCAGGCTGGAGTGCAATGGCGCGATCTCGGCTCACCGCAACCTCCGCCTCCTGGGTTCAGGCAATTCTCCTGCCTCAGCCTCCTGAGTAGCTGGGATTACAAGCACGCGCCACCATGCCCAGCTAATTTTTTGTATTTTTAGTAGAGACGGGGTTTCACCATGTTGACTAGGATGGTCTCGAGCTCTTGACCTCGTGATCCACCCACCTCGGCCTCCCAAAAAGTGCTGGGATTACAGGCGTGAGCCACCGCGCCCGGCCTTTTTTTTTTTTTTTAAAGGGAGATATGGCTCGGCGCGTTGGCTCAGCCCTGTAATCCCAGCGCTTTGGGAGGCCGAGGCAGGTGGATCACAAGGTCAAGAGATCGAGACCATCCTGGCTGACATGACTACAGGTGGTGGCGCGCACCTGCAGTCCCAGCTACTCAGGAGGCAGGAGAATCGCTTGAACCCAGGAGGCAGAGGTTACAGTGAGCCAAGATCGCACCACTGCACTCCAGCCTGGCTACAGAGTGATACTCCATCTCAAAAAAAAAAAAAAAAAAGGGAGATACAGACAGACATGTTTATTTACTGAGGGGAAAGGGCCAGGAGGGAGGGAGAGATTTCAGGCTAAGGCAGAGATGTAAAAGACTGATGAACAAAGCTCCCAGCAGGTGGAGCAGGGAGGATGCCCAAGGCACAGGTGTGGGGAACAGTCGTCAACAGGCGGAATGAAACTGGGGTGAAGATGAGATGAATGCAGAAATAATGTCATTGCAGTTCCCTAGAAAGAGGTAGTACTCTTAAGGGAACTGGAGGTGAGGCTCTCAGAGAGAAGAGGGCAGGGTTAAGGATGGAAGCGAGGGTGAGATGCTAACGAGTCATATGCAGGGGCAGTCAAGCAGTCCACAGAACCCCTTCGGGAGCAGCTTCTCTGCAACCAGCAATTTCTTTTTTACTTTCTCTTTCTTCCAGTTGTGCTTCGGTCTCAGCGGGGGACTCCCACAATTAATACTGTTCCGCTTGAAGTTACCCTTGGCTCTAGAGAGTAAAAGAAGAGAGAAATGTGTTAGGGGGATTCAGAGGTAGATTCTGGAAGACCTCATTGTGATGAGATCTTACTGAGCCTGCAAAATACGGCAATTCCATGTTTCAGATTCCAGTGACATTTTCACGGGATTCGAAAACCCTTCCCATGGGGTTAGAAATTTCTAAGCCTGGGGCGTTCAACAGCAAGTTTCCAAGATGCCGCCCAAAGGAAAAAGTAGTTCTGGAAAAGGGGGGAAGGGGCAGCAGCCTCTGGGAGTGACAGTGCTGACAAGAAGCTCAAGGTCCCAAAGGTGGTGGCAATGCGGTAAAGGTCAGACACATTCTATGTGAAAAACATGGCAAAATCATGGAAGCCATGGAAAATTGAAAGTCTGGGATGAGATTCAATGAAGTAGCCACACGACATGGGGAAAATAAAGCCAGACAAGGGGGAGACTTGGGCTAGATGACCACAGGGTCCATGGCGGGGCCATTTCAAGAAGCAGCATTTGCCTTGCCTGTAAGTGGATGGGTAAGCCTGTGTTTACAGACCCACCAGTTAAGACAAAATCTGGATATCATATTATTATGGCTGAAGGAAGAAAATAAAATCATATGAAAGACTGAAGAAAAGGAATTTTCTAAGCCCATGAAAAGGGCACATTTAGAAATTTCTAACCCCACGGGATAGGGTGTTTGAATCCTGTAAAACTGTCGTGAAGTTTTTCTGCCTAGCAGAAAAATACGGGGTGGTGGTCACCACTTGCTTCCTACTCTATTCAAGAGCGTTCATCGTGACTAAGGTGAAGGAACGCAGAGAACCCGGACCCAAGGCTGAACCCAGTCCTCTGAGGATAAAAGAGGATAGGTGGCCGGGCGCGGTGGCTCACGCCTGTAATCCCAGCACTTTGGGAGGCCGAGGCGGGCAGATCACGAGGTCAAGAGATAGAGACCATCCTCGCCAACATGGTGAAACCCCGTCTCTCCTAAAAATACAAAAAAAAAAAAAAAAAAAAAAAAAAAGAGCCGGGCGTGGTGGCGCATGCGTGTGATCCCAGCTACTCGGGAGGCTGAGGCAGAATTGCCTGAACCGGAAACCGGAAGTTGCCGTGAGCCGGGATCTCGGCCCTGCACTTCCGCCTGGCGACAGGACAGGTAAGGGAGGAGCGTGTGCCTGCCGCTTGCTCCTGGAGGCTGCGTCGATGCCGTCTCTAATTGTGGGCTCGCAGTCCTTGCAGACCCGGGAAGCACCATGAGCAAGGGGGGTGGAGGGACTCCCTGCTGAGGAGGAGCTGCAGGCCCGTATAATGGCGCGCACTTAAGTTCCCTCGGCAGCCCCGTTGGGGCTCCCTGACTGCCTCTGAGACTGGAACCCGGAAGACGAGATTCCAGCAGTGGTTAAACGGGAGAGCCATGAAACTGGACGAGAGCGCAGACTGGCTGGGTCTCAGGGCTGGGACAGGAACATGTGGCCTTTAAGTGTGACTCTGGCTTAGAAGCAGGAAGAAGCAGCTTAAATCGCTGCTGTGGCGTGGAGGCAGAGGCTCTAGGAGGTCCTGGGAGTGTTGTGGTCAGTGACTTCTTTCTGGTAGGTGAGATGTGAGGTGCCCCAGGAAAGTCCCATGGCTGCACTGACGAAGGGTTGGACGGGATTTCTGGAATTGCACACTTGTCCATCTGATGCCAAATTCATTGCTTTTAGAGTGAGAATTAAACCCTCTTGATGTGTCCAGGAGAGAGTAAGAGTAAAAGCCTTGGAGAGGACTCTGTGACAGCCAAAGTACACAAAAGAGCCCGGGATTCCTGGGGTGGACAACGGTTGCCTGGGGGACCCTGCCAGGGACATTTGGCTAGATCATGTAATAAATATTATTTTCTGTATGACCAGACCATTTATTAATGTGCTCTACTTCTTATCTTGAAATAAGGGGTAGAAAATAAGGATGTATATGTATATTTTCTAGCAGAAGCTTTCTCCATTGAGAAAGAACTTGGTAGCAACACGTTTGGTGTAATCGCTCTTATTCTATGACATCTAAGACACTGCCGTGCCTATGTGCTGACTGCCTCAGTGACGATTTATTCAGCGCCACACAATTACTTTTGGTAGTTGAGAGTTTCAGGAAGCAGAAGTTTTCATCTTCAAGGGACCAAAAGTTCGGCAGGCTATAACATCTGTCCTTTAACACATCTGGAGGCTTGAACATCATTTAGAACTGGAACAGTAAGAAATAATCACAGTGTTTCAAAAACAGAAAAACTAAACAAACCTTCAACGTGTCATGTTCCCCTCATTCTCTGCCTTCGTATTCTTTTTTTTTTTTTTTTTTTTTTTTTTGAGACAGAATCTCACTCTGTCACCCAGGCTGGAGTGATCTTGGCTCACTGCAACCTCAGCTCCTGAGTTCAAGCGATTCTCCTGCCTCAGCCTCCTGAGTAGTTGGGATTACAGGCACGTGCCACCATGCCCGACTAGTTTTTGTATTTTCAGTAGAGAGGGATTTCACCATGTTGGCCAGGCTGGTCTCCAACTCCTGGCCTCAAGTGACCCACCTGCCTCGGCCTCCCAAAGTGCTGGGATGTAGGCATGAACCACTGTGTCAGCCTCTACTTTCATATTCTAATTGGTAGAGTCTGTTCCCTTGTGCTGTCATTTAAAACAGTTAAAACAAGCACTGGTCAATGTGCCCAAAGGTATGGGGAGGGAGGAGATTCTTGTCTTCTTCCACTTCCTCCTGGCTGTATGCCCTCAGCAATCACCTAGCTTTTTTGAACTTCAGCCTTTTAATTTGTAAAATGAGAATAACACAAGGTTTTTATTTTTTCTATCTCTCTCGTTACTTATTTTGAGAAATGAGATACTATTTGCAAAATTACTTTCACAGCTCTAACATGCTACAGAGCCATTTCACATAGCAGAGGCTCTAAGGGCAGGGAGAAGGGACAGCAGAGAATGGCAGGAGATGGCCCAAAAGTGAGAGTAAGAGGCTAGGCCAGAAGACGTCTTGCACAAAGGCCGTGTGAAGAAGTGTGGGCTTTGGACATTTTAACTTTATTTCTTTATGTTTTATTCTTTTGATCACTCTGTCGCCCAGGCTAAGTGCATTGTTGTGATCATGGCACACTGCAGCCTCGACCTCCTGGGCTGAAGCAATCCTTCCACCTGAGCCGCCCACCCCAGCCTCCTGAGTAGCTGGGACTACCACCACCATGCCCAGCTAATTTATTTTTATTTTTATTTTTTGTGTAGTGATAAAGTCTTCTTATGTTGCTTAGGCCGGTCTCTAGCTTCTGGGCTCAAGAGAGCTTCCCATCTCAGCTTCCCAAAGTGCTGGGATTACAGGCATGAGCCACTGCACCCAGCCTGAACATTTTTAAGTAATAGAGTGATCTGGTCAGATTTAAACTTTAGGTGTTATCACTTTCAACTCTGTGGAGGTTGGATTTCAGGGGGACCAGTTGAAAGGCAATGAGACCAGAGAAGGGAATGTTACAATAAAGATACTGAGGGTGAGAATAGGACAATGGTAAGTCGCTGGGATGGACAGCAGAGGAAAAAATAGGAAAAAATAACTTCGGAGGTAAAAAGAACATGCAATGATCAACTGACTGGTGGAAGACAGGGAGAATTGAGGGACCCATGAAACAGGACTCCTGAGTTTCCGGTGTGGGTGTTTAGGTAGGCAACCCCTAATTCAGATAAGGGAGTATATTATACAAGGAGGAGCAGGATTGGAAGGAATGAAGTTGAGTTCTATCAAGATGCACTGAGTTTGTAGAAACATGGGGCATGGAAATGGAAACACCCCATAAGCAGTTGGATGTAGACATTTGAAGCTTGGGGAGAATGTCGAGGCTAAAGATGCTGATTTTGGAGGCATCAGCTTGTAGATATTTTTTGAATCTTAAAAAGTGTTCCTAAGTAAATATAAAATTTGAAGATCAAATAATCTTTAGGAAAACTAATGTTAAGAGGTGGCGTATTATTTTCTAATTACAACAGTGGCTTACAACAATACAAATTGATTGTCTTACGTTTCTCTAGGTCAGAAGTGTGACACTGGGCTTTGGCCACACTGGGCTAAAATCAAAGTGTCGCCAGCGCTGTGTTCCTTTCTGGAGGCTCTAGTGGAGAATTTGTTTCCTTGCTTTTTCCAGCTTCCAGAAGCCACCTGTATTCCTTGATTTGTGGTTTCCTTCCTCCATATTTGAATCCATCATGGGTGGGTTGAGTCTTTTTCATGCTGTCATTTTGCAGGTTTCTCTTCAGCTTTTTCTTCCACTTTTAAGGACTCATGTGATTAGAGTGGGCCCATCTGGATAATCCAGAATAATCTCCTCATTTCAAAATCATCTGATTAGCAACTCTGATTGCATCTGTAACCTAATTCTCTTTTGCCATGTTAGGTAATACATTCACAGGTTTAGGGCATAGACATCTTTGGAGGCATTATCTGCTTACCACAGAAAAGGCTTCCATTAAGGGGGTCAAGGTATGGACAGGTAGGAGGAGAGTGGTTTCATCATTGTCTTTGAAATGAGGCCCAAAGATCTAAAGCTATCTTCCTGGAATGACTCTAGCTACTCTAACAATCTATAATGGGTAAGTGACTAATGACGTGGTTGACAACTAGATGATCTGGATTCAAGCTCTAGGTTTTTCCCTCATGCTTTGGGACCTTGGGTAATCTACACTCTAAGACATTTTCTTCATCTGAACACTATGGATCATGATTCTACTTCCCTTGTAAAGTAATGTGCATAAAAACTTTTAGTAAATTATAGAGGGATGTGCACGTGTCAATGATATGTTGTTCAGCCATTTCCCTAAAACTTTTTCAACATAGGTTCAAGTCTATGTCAGTATTGTCTCAGGTTCAGCTACTTCTTTCAAGCTACAAGGTAAGGCTCCCTCAATCCTGAATTACTAGGCTTTAGTAAAAGGATCTGCATTAAATGAGTGACTCTGTCAGCCCACATATATAGGGTGTATACATAAGCCACTTACGTATATAAGCCCCCATTAGTGAAATTACTCCTGCTTTCAATGTTAACATCACCAGCTGGTGAATATTTGTATAAATGGAAGGTTCTAGAAAATATGGGAGGGTATAAAGAGAGCCCCTAGTGGAGTAGGTCAGCGAGAACTCACATTGAAGAATTATCACCAGGAAAGAGAGTTGACATAATCTGCACTAATTTAGAAGTTAGACAAAAAAGAGTTTAAATACAAAAAGGATAGACTTTGATACTTAAGGTAGAATTTTCTAAGGTTAAAGATGTCCAACTCTAGCATTAATGGGTGCAGACTGTATTTTTTTGGTGTTAAGGTATAGGGTGTAATGATCTTTATCATTAGGATTCCTGTGGTGGATACTAATTTGAACATTATGACTATTTAGGTTCCATATGTAAGATTTTATAATGTCTTTAACTTACAGTTGGACATTGCTTCTTGGAAACTCCACAGTCAACTTCAAACTCAATACATCTAGAACCTTCTGGTTTTAAGTCCAGTTTATTTTTGCTGCTAAGCTTCCCTGTTTCCCTCAGTGGTAGCTACAGTTTCTCAAGGCCACAGGCTAAAACTCTTTTTCTCTTCATTCTGTGATGATTACTTAAGCACCCACTACATACCAGAGAGTGAATGAGGCAAAAGGATTACAAAGATGAATAGGAGATGTCCATTACAAGTAGTTTGGTATCCTAGATACATCCATAAAAGCCTTCTGCTGCAATACATCTCATATGCTATATTTAAAACTTATTTAAGTGCTAAATTAGCAAGAAAGTAGGAGTACTCTTCAGATGCCAAAAGCAAGAAAATGCAGGAATTAAGAGTGGTCAGGGCAAAACAAACATTAGACACTTAACAAAAATAACTACTAATTTGAATAAAGACAAGATAACACTAAACTACCAGATGGGATTAATCGGAGTTAAAATATACTAAAGTTGTTAGTCTGTTTAAGAGGTGGGTATTGAGTATCATAAGATTTTACTAAATTATATGTGCATGTTACAACTTCTAGAGTAATCATCAAAAGAATAGGAATTGAGTGCAAAGCTTTCAAACTAATAAAGGAAAAAATAAAGTAAAAAGTAAAATAAATCCACAAGAATGCAAGAAAGGTGTCATAATAAACGGAAGTGAAAATGCAAAAAATAGTAGAAAGCACAAAATAAAATGAATCTTCATTCACCATTTATTCCAATAAATGTGAATGAAATAGATTACTGAGTTAAGAGTGAATACTGCCACATGAAATTTAAAAGACAGATTAGGTTAGGCACGGTGGCTCACACCTGCAATCTCAGCACTTTGAAAGGCTAAGATGAAAGGATTCCTTGAACTCAGTAGGTCAAGAACAATCTGGGCAACATAGTGAGACCTCATCTTTACAAAAATCAAAAGAATTAGCCAGATGTGGTGCTGCATGCCTGTTGTCCCAGCTACTTGGAAAACTGGGGTGGAAGGATAGGAGGTAAGCTGTGATTGTGCCACTGCACTCCAGCCTGCGTGCAGAGTGAGAGCCTATCTCAAAAACAGAAGTATATATATAATAAAGGATAGATTAGCCGTTTTTTGCTTACAAGCCACACACTTAAAAGATTAAAGTAAAAGAATGGAAAAAATATATTTCAGGTAAACATTAACCACATAGGTATAGCTATATCAGACAAACCATGTCTAGGTGTAGCCATATCAAACAAAATAAATTTTCAGGTAAAAAACATTATTAGAGACAAAGAAGATCCATATGTAATGATAAAAAAGTACAAGTCATATTACAGTTCTATTTTTAACATTTGGAGGAATCACCATAGTGTTTTCCATGCTGGCTGTACACATTTCCATTTCCACCAATATTGTGTAAAGTTCCCTTTTCTTTACATCCTCACTAACTTGTTATCTTTTGTCTTTTTGACAACAGCCATTATATTTTTTCTTTGAGACGGAGTCTCACTCTGTTGCATGGCTGGAGTGCAGTGGCATGATTTTGGCTCACTGCAACCTCCTCTTAGGTTCTAGTGCTTCTTCTGCCTCAGCCTTCCAAGTAGCTGGGATTACAGGAGCCCACCACCACAGCCCGCTAATTTTTTTTTTTTTTTTTTTTTGTATTTTTAATAGAGACTGGGTTTCACCATGTTGGTCAGGCTGGTCTCAAACTCCTGACCTTGGCCTCAGCCTCCCAAAGTGCTGAAATTACAGGTGTGAGCCACCATACCCAGCCAGACAACAGCCATTCAAACAGGAGTGAAGTGATATCTCCTTGTGGTTAATTTGCATTTTCCTGATGATTAGTGATATTAAGACTTTTTCATATGCGTGTTGGTCATTTGTATGTTTTCTTTTGAAAAATGTCTATTCAGGTCTTTTGCCCATTTTTAAAATCAGGTTATTTGTTTTCTTGCTATTACTGACTTATCTGAGTTCCTTAAATATCTTGGATATTAACTCCTTATCAGATGTATAGTTTCTAGATATTTTCTCTCATTCTGTAGGTTGTCTCTTTACTCTGTTGATTGTTGTCTTTACTGTGTGGAAGTTTTTTAGTTTCATGCAATCCCATTTGTCTATTTTTGCTTTTGTTGCCTCTGTTTTTGAGGCCATATTAAAAAAAAATCATCACCCAGACCAGTGTCACAGAGTTTTATCCCCTGTGTTTTCTTCTAGTAGTTCTATAATTTCAGGTCTTATATTTAAGTCTCTTTTTATTTTTTTTTTACATTTTGAGAAAGAGTTTCACTCTGTCACCCAGGCTGGAGGGCAATGGTGCAATCTCAGCTCACTGCAGCTTCCTCCTCCTGGGTTTAAGTGATTCTCCTGCCTCAGCCTCCTGAGTAGCTGGGATTGTAGGTATGCACCACCAAGCCCAGATAATTTTTGTACTTTTAGTAGAGATGGGATTTTGCTATGCTGGCCAGGCTGGTCTCCAATTCCTGACCTCAAGTGATCCACCGCCTTGGCCTCTCAAAAGTGCTGAGATTACAGGCATCAGCCACTGCACCCAGCCTATGTAAGTCTTTAATCCAATTTGGAGTTGGTATCATATATGGTAAGAAATAAGGGTCTAATTTTATTCCACATGTGTATATCCAGTTTTCCCAAAGCTATTTATTAAAGGGATGGTCCTTTCCCCATTGCATGTTCTCTAGTAAAGGAAACTAGTAAAGGAAAAGATAAAGTAAAAAATAAAATTAATCCACAAGAGTGTAAGAAAGGAATGATAATAATAGTTAACAAAAGAAAGTGAAAATGAAAAAAATAGTAGAAAGCACAAAATAAAATGAATCTTAATTTACCACATGTATATTTACAGTTTTCCCAATAAATAACACCTTTGTGAAAGTCAGTTGGCTGTAAAAGTTTGGATTTATTTCTAGGCTCTTTATTCTGTCTCTGTTTTTATGCCAGTACCATGCTGTTTTGGTTACTGTAGCTTTGCAGTGTATTTTGAAGTCAGGTGGTACAATGCCTCCATCTTTGTTCTTCTTATTCAAGATTGCTGTGGCTATCTGGGGTCTTTTGTGGTTCCCTGTGAATTTTAGAATTTTTTTTCTATATTTTTTTTAAAGAATAGTCTTGTTTTGACAAGGCTTGCACTGAACCTGTAGACTGCTTTGGATAGTGTGGACATTTTAACAATATTAATTCTT